TCCCACACCGCACGCCACACACCGCACGCCGCACGTCGCACACTGCACACTGCACACCACACGCCGCACGTCGCACGCCGCACACTGCACACCACACGCCGCACACTGCGCACTGCGCACTGCACACCGCACGCCGCACGCTGCACATCACGCGTGTCCGGTATTCTCTGATTTTTTTTACCGGACAAAAAGCGCAAATACCAGACACCTGGCAACCCTATTCCCACCCACACCCATCCAACTCCACTGCAGGGCAGAGGAAACAGAAGCAGGGGATGGGGCAGCTATCTCTGTAGGGCTCACTGGGCTAGGCAAACCGCCCCCTTCACACACTGCCAAGGGGAGGGGGACTGTGGGGAGCACGTGGGGGGGGGGACAAGGGGAGAGCAGCAGGCTCAGTAGCAACTGGGCTGGGAAAGTGAAACCAAACCCACCCTCACTCCTCACACTAGTAAGGTGGTGGGGGGAGGAGGGGAGGGCAACGGAACAGGGAGAGTGCAAAGGAGGAGAAGGGGGGAGCAAGGAGGAAGCCCACTTTGCCCACCCTGGGCCAAGGTGCAGGGAGGGATTGGACAGGGAGGGAGCTAAACGGGCAAGCACCACAGCAGCAGGGTCACAGGAAGCCGGGCGTAGTGGTCTCTACAGGGCAGGGCTGGCTCTCCTCTGGGATCTGCTGTGCTGAGAATGCTGCTGCAGTAAGGCAAGCCCATGTGACTAACTGGAGCTTTGTGTCTGTGCCATACAGGTTCAGGGGCAGCGGCTGAGGAGGCTCCTTGCTACTCTGCCTTCCCAGCTGCCCTGGAGCCTGCCTGAGCCACACTAACCATTCCACAGCTACCCCACGGACAAATTGGAGGCAGGGCGGAGACAGCACAGACCCAGCGTTGGGTAGGCAGAGCCTCCCTCTGCCTTACACTCATGCTTTGCACTTGAAGCAGGCCCATACATAGGGGGTGCAAATGATGCAACCCCCCCATAATCTTTCATGATCTGCCATGGGGCCAATTCCAGCCTGTCTGGGAAAGCAGAGGTGGTTACACAGCCTGCTTCCCTCCCCCGGGCTCTGGCCGGCCAGGGGAAGCCTGGGGCTGATTCCACACTTCCTCCCACAGCTCACATACCCCTTACGCACAGAAATTCCTGCATATGGGCCTGCTAAGGGAGACATGCTCATCTGATCTTCCAATGCCTCTGCAGAGCTTCTTACACAGGAGCCAAGAGGCACGTTATCAGTCTGGTCTCAGCACCACCTTCTGCCATGGGCTCAATCAGAATCTCTTTGGCCTTACTCTGCAAGACAATCTCTCCCGCAGCACTATCTGGCATTGGTTAAAAGGCTGTGCCCATTTGTTCTTCAAAGTGTCAGACTCTTGGGTGCCATCACAGGTTGTAACAATCGTGCCTACTCCTCAAGCAATACCATGACACCAATTCTGAATCTGTCCTCAGCTGCCTCATGATGAGATTAGATGTCTGATTGTGTAATAACACATTTCCCCTGAGGCACTGTTTCCTCTTCTGTTTTACATCAGTTATCTTCTGTACACTTTTGGGACAATACCCCCCCTCAGCTTGTGAGGCACCCTGTCACATGTGCTTCCACTGCCTGCTCCGCTGGTCCCACTCTGAAACTACTTCAGGGTACCATCAACCTCTTTGTCCTTGGACACTCCCTCTCACTTCCTCAAGACATCAGGCATCCTGGAAAGAAACCCAGGGCCACCTTCAGTTATTTACAGAGCCCTCCATCTAGGAATCCTTAACCCTTTTGAAAGATGCAAGACCAGCTCCAGGAAAGCCCTTAGTGCTAGCACTGAGCCCCTATCCCCCTTTGGCACAGATAGCCCCTCTAGCCATCATGAGACCCCAGTCTTGCTCTAACAAAGGTTTGGGGTGGGATTCACAGGCAAGGGGAAGTATGAGTGATTCTGTAGCTAAGTGGAGGGTCTGGGGGAAAGGCAGGCAGAGCTGAGGGGCTCTGGCTTGGCCTTGCTGCCAGGCTGCAGGGCCTGAGTGTGCTAAGGCTGCAGGGAAACAGCCAGGCAGCCAAAGGCAGCAGGCCCCCGCCCCCTTGCCAATGCTCAGTGGCCCTGTCTGACTGCAGGCTGCCCCTGAGGTAAGGGGCTAGATGGGGCAGGGAACCTGTTTTTGGGTTGGGGGCTGCTGCCCCACAGGGAAATCATTGGGGGCTGCACACCAGGGAGAAGCAAAACCAGAAAAAGCAAATGCTCCCTGGCGTGGCCCCTGACTCCCCACTTCCCTGGGCACACCAGAGCCTAGGGGAGCCCAGGCTGGTTTGAGACCCACAGGGGGATAGCAGTGGGGTTGGAGCTCCAGCACAGGCTCCCCAATGCTGGGGGAAGACCTGAGCCTCTGGGCGAGATCCAGACAAGCTGGGGGCTGGATGCAGCCCCTGGGCCTGGGGTGCCCCACCCATGGGCTAGCTGTTGGCTGGCAGTGGGTCACTGAGCCAAGGTGGGTGTAGGGAGCTTGGGGATCCCCTGGGAGGGGAGGACCCTAGAGTGCAGGGCACTGACCTAGGGCAGTATGAGGAAAGGATACTGTGGGCGGAAAGGGGGTGCTAGAGAGGTAACTCCCAGAGCCACCAGTAGGAGGTGCCGTGGGGGCGAGTGCTTATCCCGTGACAGGCAGCCTGTATCCCAGCCAGTGCTCAAGGCCAGAGAAGGTTGCATCCTGAAAACTAGGGCCCAGCCAGTCTGGTATCCAGCAAAGGATCGGGGGAGGGGGGCAACAGGGAGGCTCAAGAGATTAACAATGGCTCATAGCAACTTTCCACTCCGTGGCACCAAGCCCTGCTGTGAGGCAGCTGGTCCCTCTGCATCTCTCGCATGGACACGGTGCTCCAGAGCTAGTGTGAGTGGGCGCCCGCTGCAGTGGGATGGGGAGTCACCATCTGGGGGAGATTGGAGACTGGAGGCTGCTGAAGGAGAAGTAGCTTCTCTGCA